ATGGACTGCATTTTGGAGAAGGGATAATTGGATCATTCCTGCCTACCACTTTATAATTGAATAAACGTTTCCCAGATAAATCATACTTTTTCATCCCTTTCCAAATTTTACTATAAATATTTACCCTAGAGTATATAAACTACACGTATGCATGAGAATGAAAGTGAGTTGTAGTTGCAGTTTTCGAAGAGCCTTGTTATTTGAAATGCCTTTCTTTAAAGGCACATTTAACCAATTCTCTTTTATGGTGAGCTAAAATTCAAGGCCTGTAAAAAGTATAATAACAAAAGTATAATAAAGTCCAAATTGTGGGAGATTGCAGATACTCAAAGGTTTACACTTACATACATCATGAGAACTTTTCACATCAGGTACTGGTAAAGAGAAAGGTATAATTTTCTTTCAATTGCTTAATATGGGACAAATCAGACTCAACTGATTTCTGTATATGACCCTGAATAAACTTTCATTTCAATCGTTGTCTCAAGACCTAGACAGTTTTTTAGTCTCTTGTTTCTTTTCTTTTTAAGAGGTGCTATAGTCATGCTGTTAATTAGGATGCTAGCTATCCATAGCCAAAGGTTGAGAGTCTATTATATTTTCATATTCCCTCAAAGGGAAAAGTATCCAACTGTGATTATTCTTGGCATAAGTAAGCTTTGCCTGAACTCCTTCCCATCTCCATCTCCATGTTTGTTCTGAAGTAGAGATGGGGCCACACTCCCCTTCTCATTGCCAAGGTGCACACCTAAAGTCTACTTCCGGCCCAGCCGTGCCACGCCCTGACATTCTGGGAGATTTATCCTAGTTGCAAAATCCCCAGTGAGGAGATAGAAAGACTGTGATTCATTTCTAGGAGAAAAAAAAGAGCATTTACTCTGTTAAAAGCCGTACACATTTCTGTGTACCCTGAAGGTTCAAATAAGAAGACTATTTTTTGAAAAAAACAAAACAAACAGAAATAAGAGATTTCTATTATTGCTACAGTTGCCATAAAATGGAATCAGCTTTAAATTATGCTGTTCATTGTGTTTTGGTTTCCCAGAGAGTTTGAAAATCTGTTAAATGAGTAACCTGGTACTAATTACCTGATTTTTATTCATATGAGTTAGATTATAAGTTCATTAATTATATTTATTAATTTTATTAAATTAAGTTCAGAAAAGCTAATACATGCCATTTGTATCTGAGAGAGAAGAGTCTTTTCTTTGCCTTGCACGTTTGGAGGTTTTTTGTTGTTGTTTTTTTTTTTGAGAAATTAGTTTTGCATTCATAAAAACATGTACATCAAGATGAATTTCGGGTGCCTCCTGAAGAGAGAGTATTGATTCAAAGACTCTCTGGTGCCTGATCACTGCAAAGGGAGTTTAATCAGACATGTTCTCCTAGAACATGTCTTAATGAGAGGGTGATCCCTCTAGCTTTTTGGTGTTAATATATTGTGCATAAAATTCCTGAATAACTGAATTAAGGATGACAGTTCTCATTCAGATAGTTGGGAATGGAGCCCAGATAGCTGGAATTTTACCTGCACCCAGGTGTTGTTGATGTGGAAGCTACACAGAACAGATGAACAGACTCTGTCCTAGCTTCTCTAAAGACCATTTGGAAATGTAATAAGGAAAAAAACAGCGTGATCCTCCCAGCTTCTGGTATTAAAAGTGGATGACTCTTCTCTGAATTCTTTCATTTCAGATTTATTCTAATGGAATTTGAGTCAAGACCTCACCTAATTTTTTACCTGTCTCTGATAACATAGCCACTGGAAGGGAGGCTAAGATCAGGATACAGATTAGGCAAGAAACATAGAAGGAATCCTCGATGATTGCTGCAAATATGTCCAGAAACAATATGTCAGAGTGTCAGGAGGCTGGGGACACCACAGAAGCACGTGGCCAGGCCAGTCTGTTTTGAATAAGGGCTTTTGGAATCAGCCTTCAGCCTGAGGGCCAAGAATAATGCACAATCTCTCTACCTAACTGCTGCTACTAAAAATGCCCTAAACCATTCTCAACTTAAGATGCTAACGTTCCTGCAGCCATGCGTGTTTCTACATACACACCAGTCACTTTCAGCAATAACAAACACGAGGATGGGAGTTTCCCACCCTGCATTGATAAAGTCCAAATTGACAGTTTGTTTAAAAACTGTTTGGACCAGATACGGTATACGGTATCTTCTTTAAAAAAATGTGTCAGGGTGAGGAAATGTAACACATAAAATAATGATAACATGGCTTTTATTAAAGGTATTTCATTGTGTATAATGCTTCTGAAGCAGAAATGTAATAGACAAAATTCATTATTCATGCTTTTTTTCATATTCACATAGATATGACTGCATAATGAAAATTGGTCTTCTCCTATAGGCATAACCCTGAGTCCCTCAGTAATAAATGTTTTCTAGGACCAAGGGATTTATATGCAGAAATCGTCTTCACAAAGCAAACTTTGTCTCAAAAATAAGGCTCTTGTTTTTAGGGGAGCCTTGCTATATTGTCAACGGCTTTGTGTTGTTTATTGACATTTATATCAGATCCAAATCAGGACACTTAATTATAAAATGATCCTAATCCTCTATAAGTGGATTGATTAAAATATGAATTTTGATCGATTCATATTTATTCATTTTTAAATTAGAGAAAAACTCTTGTTCTCTTTCAAAGAATCAAGACCAATCATTAGTGCTGAGCAATGGGAAATGTGGAAAGTATTGTTCTGGTGGGGTACTCAGATGGTTAGACTTTAAAACCTATGTGTTAAGCGTGGGCCGATATAATCTCATTGAACTGTTGAATTAAGCACTGTGTGTTTTCATTTAATTATGCTTAGGGAACAGTTTAAAGTATCAGTTGATAGATAGGGTAGCTCCACTTTAATTGATCCATTGTTTTGAAATAGCAATTGTCTGGTAGGTGCTGGACCTAATAAATTTTGGATAACAGCCCGAGAGAGAACAGATTTCATCTTCCAGTAGGAAACATTATCAGAGCAATTTTTATTGTATGCCTAAGGCATTTTGGTATTGTCCAGCTTTGATGATTTAGGAAAATCCTAGCTACTACCAACACATCAGAAAAAATCAGAAGTAGATAAAACTGGTAAATTGAGCTTTGTACACAGTCAAAATTAAATTTTGAGGATGGTCAAAATTCAGAGGATGGTCATTGTTTCTCTCTGCCAGTGAGCTGAGAACTAGATGTGAATGTGGCTCTGGAGGAAGGAGCATCAAGGTAGGTCAACAGGGCGCAGAAATTTGCGAGACTCAGTTCTGCAGTTCTACTCTGGGAAGAGAGAATTCATTGAGAGGCAAGACATGGTTCTTCCGACAGTGGTAGCCGCCATCACTGCGATGTGGCTAAGTTGGAGACTATGTTAATTGAAAATAAGAGAAATAGTTGCACTTCATTTAAAAAATTATCTGACCTGACTTAGGAAACTAATACAATAGGTCCTTGAATAACATCTTTTTGTTGTTTCAAAATTGTTTCCTTGTAATGATGAGATGCCATGGGAACTTAACTCTTGTTTACATCAATTAGCCTGTGGTAAAATTGGTTTCATTACACCTCATTTCACTTTAAGTCACAGAACCTATTGACGACCTTAGGTGAGGACTTACTGCACATTGTTTATCCGAGTAATAAATCAGTATGTATGGTTATCAATAAATGTTCAGCACTTTCCAAGGCAGAAAAGTAAACTCTGGACATGTTCACCAAAGTTTATACAGAACCATTGGAATGTTGTGTTTTTTGTTGTTTTTTTTTAAACATACACATCTAACTTTATTTCATCATTGTCATTTAAAGCTTGACATTATAAAACATTAAAAGACATTTTTAAGAGTTCTGTATCACAGGAATTTAAGCAGTAGAAATATCCATAGCTTCTTAGGTTCAAGTTATTGATATGGGAACTATACAATGAAATAAAGGCAAAAGGATCTAATAGGAGCAATATTTCATTACTTATGGATTATCATTAATTACTTTCAGGATCTAAACAAAGACTGAGGTTTAAATGTTTTAAAACCATTTAAAAGTTGTTGAAGTTGACCTTTCAAACACTTAAACTGTATGACATAAATGGCTACCAAATAAATAGGATGTACGTGTGTGTACACTTGCTTTCTTCCTCTCTTAGTTTCTTAATATGCTTTCCATTTTACCTGATTTTTTAGTCTACAGAAATTGCTTAGAAAGGTCCTCTTTCTCAAAAGGTTTCACTTAGATCACCATTAGAGCCAATCCTGGCATTGAAGTCCCTGAGAAATTTGAGTTTATTCTGGGAGAACTATAGATTAAATAAGAATAAAAAACACCAGTAAAAGAGAGACTATATTTTGAAGCAACAGAAATTGTTATCACAAGAAACCATGTCCAGATGGTCAGGAGATAAATCAGTATCAGAGAAAGATCTGTGGGCCAAGAAGCTGCTCCCTTGAAGTTGACCAAACTAAGGATAGCCAATTTCCATTATTTTTGCCAGTTTTTTCCTAATAACTGTTGACAGATGATTGTTAAAATTCAGATCTTGTTTGTGTAGAATTCATTAGAAAGGCCAATATATTAGGATTCTTATTTGAGTATCCCAAAGGGCATGTTCCAGGAGGAGAAGTGGTCCAGTTGAACCTGCACTGCCGCCCAGCAGGTTTTCCTAAAGTGCTCATCCAAGCAAAGTAGTGCCTTCCTTTGCTTGAAATCCTGTGGTAATTTGTCCCATAGCTTCAAATTCCTTGGGTTGGTGCAAAACACCCTTGATGTTCTGGCATTAGTCCTGGTGTTTATGACATTCTTTACAATCACTGGTCTCCTGTGTGTCTCTTCCATTATATGGTGAACTCAGAGAGGGTAGGAATTATATTTTACTCATTTTAGTATTCCTAGTGCTTGGCCCTTGGAGAGCCTCAGGAAGTATTGGTGGAATAGTTGACTAGATGATTGGAAATGTTTTGATAGTGCTAAGCCCTAACGTGGCTGTGTTTTTTCCTTCCCCAAGGACTTTGGCATTATGTTCCTGCATCACCTTGTGTCTATTTTCTTGATTACCTTTTCATATGTCAACAATATGGCCCGAGTAGGAACCCTGGTTCTCTGTCTGCACGATTCAGCTGATGCTCTTCTGGAGGTAAAAGTTTTCTTCATCTTTAAGAGTACAAAATCTAGAATTTAGGAAGCCCCCAAGATCATCACTTGCATATTATGTTAGAGGGTGCCAGGGACAATAATATATGACTGCTTTGAAACTGCAGCCTTTCTTGTAAGTGAAATTGGTGAAAGTGAGACTTTAAATCAGTATATAAATTTTTGTATAAAAAAAGTTCATCATGTTAGCGTTCTTTATTGATAAAATAATGAAAACCTTTATTATTCCACACTTAACAAATGAATGTTTTACATTAAGAAAATTATTACTTGAACAAGTTTTATTTCTGGTATTATAAGTTTCACACTGATTTATCCGGAAAGTGTATATAACTCAGCTTAGTTATTAATGGGAGTTGTACATCCTGATGAAATCAATTTAGTAGTCATAGTAGCCAATATACACATTATTCTATTATTTTTACAGTGAAAAGTGTATACAAATTGCAAATTATATATAAAAATTGTTTCCTATGCATATATGTGAACAATATCTGAGGATATTTTGGTTGTACTTTGCTTAACTATATAAACCATTATCATTTAGAATTATTAAAGTAGCAAAAGAAAGAAAAACGCTATCTCAAGGAAAATTTTGATGTGATATTTACTCTTAATTATGGCTCCTATGAAGAGACGCTTGATAATGTTATATAATTAAAGGGTTTTTTTTTTACTTTATACTAAGAAATTTATGTAACTGGTCAAAAATAAACCACAGTACAAATTTCATGTAGAAATGGCTCTTAGAATCTGTTTCTGATTTTCTATTCCTGCGGCCCACAGTTCTGCCCCTTTGAAGCATTTACTGTCACTGTGAATATAGAATACAGGTGCCCTGAAATAATGACCTATTATTTCCATTTAAGCAGAAATCCCATGCTGTAAAATTGATTGAATCTACTATAAAAGCAGTTAGTCAAGATTTGAAGTACATTAACACTTTATTAAAAAGCTCTGGTCGCTATAAGGTTATAAAACAGAAAAATAGTCCTAATGGGCTAGGATATGTCAGATGATAGTTTGGCACAATGCTTTTTAAGTGCTTCAAGCTAGGTTCTTGCTCTTCCACATGTTTCTTAAAGGAGAAATATATAATTAGTGTAGGGGAAATCCTCTGAAAATAGTTAACATTTGGTTAAATCTTAAGCATGCTTGAAAGTAGACATTTATACATCATTCTACAGTTTTGAAATCAGTCCTGAACAATCTGCCAACTTTAATATCTGTGGAAATGGCTGGCATGACACTTGGCAGAGCCATGATTCAGAAAATGTTGGTTGAATCATCATGTACCACTTTAATCTAGAAAAGAAAAATAATCCAGAAATCCTAGTCGTGTGGCTTAAAAGCAAATGTTCTTCGTCACCTGGGTTCTCTTTGCTATTATAAAATATTGCTTGAGAATATCTAAATAATGGAATATGTTGACTGTCAACCCTTTGAAGTGGGATGTATGGCCTAGACATTTCCAAAAATAATTGATGTTTAATGCTTTTTTATTGAATACTGGTGAATAAATATAAAAGAACAACTACATGGTTACCTAGCCAGAAGGAGGCAGAAGATGCTTTTTTTTTTTCTTTCTTAATACAATTTGTGGTGTTACACCCAAAGTATTTAGGAAATTAAAAGTTCTTCTTGGAAGGCCATCTGAGTGGCTCAGTTGGTTAAGAGCTCGCTCAAGAGTGTGAGCTCTGAGCAATAGCAGTTCAATTCCTGGCCCGAGCTGAGCAGCCGCTGAGCTGCCAACAGGTGGCAGGGTGGCTCAGCTTTAAAAAAAAAAAAAAAAAAAGTTCATCTTGGCTTCTATTCAGTTAATAGATATTTCCCCATCAGGAATATATATTTCTCAGAGCTTTGTGTTTTACTTAAATATACGAGTATTATAGTTTCTGTGGATATTGTCAACAGTCTTTTCAAATATGACTCAGTTAATTTAACTTTCCAAGAAGTAGGAAATAATGTTATGAATTCAGAAGACATCTTCAATTTGTAACCCTGTGTGTGGGTGCTTGTGAATTCTAGGTGAAAATGTAAAAAGAGGTGATCAAGCAAAATTATGCTTTTAATGTCACCTCTTTTTACTTAGGCACATCCATAAAAAGTAGATGGTAGAGAAAGGGATGTGATTTCTTCCCTATATTAATTTATAATATAAAAAGTAGTCACTTAAATCACTATCATAAATATTAGCATACCTCTCACACACGCTTTGAACATTATTGACCTTGAAAATTATACCTAAATGAATTCGTTGAAAAACATGATCTTGACACCTTCTTCATTTCTAAATTTATAAGAATAAGCCAAGAAACTGTCTCCCCAGAATACTCCTTATGCCTGTTGATAGAAAACCTATAAATCTAAGTAGAGGGAGAAAAAAATGCAGAAAGGCTCCATATATTCTGTATAAAGTTTGTGGCCATAGTGTTTGAGACCATTAAAGGGTTAAAGGATTATATAACGCTTTCTATTTTGGCCTGTTATGCCGAATTCCTGTTTTGGTGTCTTTGACTTGCTAATATCTTCTAAAATGCAAGAATTTCTTTATTTTTCTGTTTTCCTGAAGTCAACCATATAATTGAATTTTTTCAGTTTGCTGAATATTTTATTAAATCTGTAACCATCAGTAGTCCTACTTATGGCTAATGCTGTATTTCACTCAACTTATGAGTAATTTATAAATACTGATGCGTGATGCATGACATTCCAAAGTAGCAAGCAATTTTATGCATCTGGTAACTTATAACTTATAGGAGACTCATGAATATTGAAAAAAAGGTTTACATTTATCAATTTAACTAAATTAATATGTCACATTCCTTCCTTTCATAGGCTGCCAAAATGGCAAATTACGCCAAGTTTCAGAAAATGTGTGACCTCCTGTTTGTTATGTTTGCCATGGTTTTTATCACCACCCGACTGGGTATATTTCCTCTCTGGTGAGTATCCCATCTTTCCAATAGAGCTGTCCCTTCCAGATAGGCTTTATGAGCCATGTTCCTTTTGAACTTCACTCCAATTACTTAGAGGTTTAAAGAAAGTGAGGGAGGGACTCGAGAAATGGCTTGATTTCTTCTTCCAGAAGAGGGCTGCACTCTTTGCTAATATTTTCCACAGGATACTTAGAGAAGGATGTGGCTTATGTAGGTTCTGGAGCCACAGAGAGCTGTCGGCCATTTTAGGGTTCAGTCTAGGGTCTGATTCAAAAACCTTAGCCATGAAAATTGGAATTAATAAAGGAAACATGGCGTTGCAACCAGTTATCTATCAGAGACCCTCCTGTACCAGGACTGGCAACAACAGCATGACGGGAGAACTTGTTAGAAATGCAGCTTATTAGGCCCCACCCCAAATTGACTGAATCACAAACTCTGGAGGTGGGTTCCGGCAATCTGCATTTTCATAAGTTTTCCTGATAATTTTGCTCCACATTAACATTTGAGAACCACTGTCTTATATAATGCTCCTTATCAATTATACATATAACTAAAGCAGGTGGAAGGTGTAACCTAAAACGAATCCCTAAAATTCTCTCATGGCCCCTGAATGTCTGGATGTGTTTTGTTTTGCTGAGAGCTAAGAAAACAATGACAGATTTTGACCGAATTTGACAATCCTTTCTATTGAAAATAGGTCCACAGTCATTAATCATTTGCTAGATGGCTATTACTCGAGCTAGAAAAAAAATGAGCTCTCCATATCACTTAAAGTCTAGCATTGAAGGCAGATTTTTTTTTCTGCATTTTGAGAAATTGATTTGAATAGAAAATTAAAGCAATGGAAATAGGAGAAAGCCAAACATGGAAGGGATAAAATAATACCTTGCATTTCAGCCCCAACAGAAAAATATACACACATTAATCACACACACACACACACACTCACTCACACACACACTCACACACACACACACACATACACACACGCTCACACACACACTCACATACACACACACACATACACACACGCTCACACACACACACTCACACACACACACACACACTCACACACACACACACTCACACACCTTCTCCTTGAGGCTTGCAGCCCTTTTTTGGTCACTTACTTATTTATGAAAATCTTTTCCAAGTAGCAGCACTCTGTATTGGCAACAGGCATTTATAAAACCTTATAGTTTTACATGGTTGTAGGTAGAAAATATTGATGTAATTTTGAATATAATACGTCTATATTTATTTCAGGATTGGGGCTCTTTCAAGATTACTAGCAGATTACTAATAGTAAGAATTTAAGTAGAAGAAATTCAAGCAAAATCTAGGAAATATTTCTCAAAAGAATAATAGAAAGCTTTTCCTATTTAGGATTTCTGAGAACCTGAGTTTTAAAGAACTAAGCATCGCTCTCAAGCACTTTGATTTATTTTCCTTTAAGGGTAGATTAAAATTCAGATGCATCTCCCCCCCCCCCCAGCTAATGTGTAAATAAAGCTTTGCAGGCTCAGTCTAAAACGTCCAGCCTTTGCCTTTTCCATATTGTTTGGGTGTGGACTCTTCTTACTTTCCAATATACTACCATTTTTAATGGGTTTGGTGAATTTATTGGGCACTTACTGTGTAACCAGTACTGGATGAAAATTTAGTTAGACATAAGGCTTTCTTGGGGCATTTGCAGTTGAACCCCTAGAGGTCCCTTCAGCCATCTGGTTTATAATTTGGGGGGCCTAGAGTTTTAGTTATTTTGTGACCATTTATGGATATAAATAATATACGAGTATTAATACTAAATACTTTGGTTGAGGTGTACGAAGGAGCTCTGTCAGCTCATAAAGCATTATACTAGAAAGAGCATGTGTGTGTGACAGTCACTGGTGACTGGAGGGAAGGTGCTGGAGGGAGATTGGATTTCCATTCTAACCAACATTTCAGGACTTATATCTCCTTCAAATATCTGTGCTTCAGCTGGAAGAAGTAGGAAAGGTATTTCCTATTTCCTCTACTTCTTTTAGTTTTCCATCCATTACTTTGGAATCACCAGCAGTACCTTCCAGGTTCCTCCTGACCATGTTTGTGTTCCCACGTGAGCCATCCGAATTTTTGTAATTAGTGGGTTTAATAACACCTAGTTCATTGGCTGTTGAGTCTTTGGTGTATTTGTGGTTTTGCCTCACAAAGACAACATACACGTGAGTAGCCTTTTCAGAATTATGCACTGCCCAGACTTCTCTTTTGGTTATAATGCACCCTTCTAGAACAGCACTGCTCAATAGAAATATAATCCAGGCTTCATAGCCATTTTAAGTTTTCTAGTAGCCACATTAAAACATAAAATGCTGACATCCATTTAAATGTTTATTTAACTTCGTGTATATAAAATAATGTCATTTTAACATCCATGTTAAAAATTATTGAGATGATTGCATTCTTTTATTACGTACTAAAAATCTTCAAAATAGGGGATGCATTCCACATGACTGCCTCTACTGAAAAGTCTATGTATTTTAGTCTTTGTGTTATAGTTGGACAGTCAATGATTTGATCCTTTTTGAGAGTAAGCCTATCTATTTATCATTGTAAATTGTTACCATTTTTATTGATCTGCATCTGTCTTTCGTCAACTCCATTAATGTGTAATCCCTGAAGTTCCTAACAAATTTCCTATATTTTATGAAGCTGTGATTTCAGTTGGCACAGATTAGACAGTGCTCAATATTCATTATAGTGTCTATCACAATGCCTTGCTCACAATGGCTACTCAATAATATTTGTTGAGTGAATTAGGTACTCTTTATTCTAAACGGTCTCACATCTGTTTTCTTAGTTGAATTCTTTAACTCATTATGAAGTGGATAGGTGCAGTTTCTCCCTTATTAAACAGAGAAAACGGATTCATTTAGTCAATGATTTACCCAGTCTCTCTGGACTCTGGTCTCCTGACATTTTTTGGTTCAATTTAGCAAGTACTTACTAAATTCCATTTGTTCCCTCTACAACACAATACTATCTTCTTTAATGAGGAGGCCATAAAGCTGTTGATGAGAAACATTTTTGGTGGTTGTTACATAAAAAGGAGTCATTTTAAAGTGATTGTCCTTATTCAGCCCTGCCAAGATACTATACTGCAAGCATCATCGTCTCTCAACCTTACAACCTTACGTTAGAATCTGCTAACGAAAAAGACAAATCCACAAAGATGTTGAAAGGGAAGTAGTACACTGTAATCAATAGAAGGACTGCTTGCTATGAGTCATGCTTCTGCCCCACTGTGTGTCTGAAGACCATGTGTGTAGCTTCCTTTATCTATGTCCTCATTGGGAAAATAAGAATAAATAGCAATTGTTCCACCTATCTTTCCAGGAATTGTTAAGGATCAAATGAAATATTATTTGTAGTAGTGTTCTTTATAAAGTACTTCATAAATAGTATGCATTTTAAAAATATAGTATTGTTAAAGATGGCAATTTCCATTATAGTCAGAAATTTTTATTACATGTTATAACCTCCAATTAATCTAGAATAAGGAATGATAACCATAGCTATTTTGAAGTAAAATTTTTAAGTGTTCTCTCCAGTTATGAGACTCAAAATATCTTGTTTTCGTCATTTCTGTTCTTAGTGAGCATGTAACATTGGGCACACACCAACCAGGTTGCCTCATTGCCCCAAATCCTAAATGACCGTACCTGTCCTAAGCCACCATTACTGTTCACAGAATCTCACAGAATTTCATAAAATGCAAGCATATGTCAGCCTATTTCTTTCCCCAAGTCACATACTCACAAGCCAATATCCAGCCAACAATGGGCATACCACAGTTGCCAGAATCTCTTCCTATGGCCTAATGGTGACTTTCCATATCTCCATTCATATCCCCATTCACCAAAAATGAACCTCTGGGAAAAGTTAGTCATACATGTACCTTCAATGGTCTGCTGCTATTTAGACAGAAGCATGTGACTTCTCAAAATGTTATTTTCTGTTGATCTCTACCCTGCAAAGTAGGGGGATTATTTGCTGATTTGTACTCTCTGAAGGTCTCTGCAATTAAAAAGAAAAAACACATTACAGGGGAACCTAGATTATTCTTTTACCATTTTTCATGTTAAGATTTGAAATTCATCCAGATGCGTATGGGGATATCATCTTCTTCCCTGATTTATTTTTCAGGACATCTTTTACTGAAATAGTGTGGCATATATGCTTTTCTGAATATTTAATAAGATCAGCCTCAGAGCTCACAAATTTGGAGAAGTTAGTTTTTTGTTTTTCTTTCTCTAGAACCCCTTGACAGATTTTCTCTGAAATTTTCCTTGGTGCTAGCCTGTGTTAAATATATTTGAAATATAAAAGATGAAACCTGAAATCTTTGGCTGTTAGGTATTTTGGCATGTTTTTAGTTATACTGATGTGTATTACTATCACTTAATACGTACCTTTAAAGGTGGGGTAGAATTGTGTGGAAATAATGTCTATTGAGATGTATTGTCTCTTTTCATGTGAACATAACACTTGTAATATAATTTCAATTAGACCAGGAGTCAACAAACTATAGCCTGTAGGACAAATCAGCCATTACCTGTTTTTATAAATAAAGTTTTATTGAACCACAACCTTGCCCATCTGTTACATATTGTCTTTGGCTGCTTTCTGCTACAATGGCTTGATTAGTTGGGCTAAAGTATATGGCCCGCTAATCCTAAAATATTTACCAGCTGGATCTTTACAGAAAAAGTTTGCCAACTCCTGGGCTGGGCCATTAAAAAATTAGTCTGATGAGTAGGCAGTGGGAGGAGTGATGTATTAAATGTATTCAGTCTTTGGATATTCTCTAGAAGTATTGTCTGCCTTAGGCAAAAAGCATGCGGCTATTCTTAATAATGTGTGTGGGGGTGAGAGGAGGCAGACTAGACTCTCAAGTAAGCTTTTTCCTTTTGTGACTTGAGTCAACAAAAAAAATTCAGTATCCTAGTAACGCTTTCAAC